AAAAAAAAAAAAAAAAAAAAAAAAAAAACATGATCAACCGAGTTCTTCCCGGACGGTTTTGAAATATTACATCAAATTACTAACCTGGTTTAGGATGAACAAGTAAACCAATAAAGAAAGAACAAGTATGGACTACTTCAGCATCTGGGTTTCCTTCTACATCTTCAGCTGTCCTATTCGCAATAGCTTCTGGCATTTCTCCCGCTTGTACTATCAAGACCTACAAAAAGAAAAAAAGATAAATGATCATCAGTCTGAAAGAACGAAAGGAGAAAGAGAGAAAGGGAGAAGCTTACTTCCTGTTTATTGAGCGGATAACAAGTATTACTGAATCCTTTAATAAAAGGATGTGCCATATCCATAGTCTCAATTTCTTCCAACTTTAATACTAAAAGCCTTAACCTGGATTCCACTGTTCCAGCCCTTTTTCAACGACAAAAGAAAAAAAAAAAAAAAGGATTTAGAAAGATACATCAAAAGCTAAAGAAAGAGAAGAATTAGCTACCATTTTAGTTCTGATTCGGCTTCGGGTGATGAGGCGGTAATTTGCATGTAATATCGATAACGTGTAAAAAAGTCATGTTTCTCAAATAAAGCTGACCAAGTTGCTGTACCAGTTGCTATGGCGTCTGTGACAGCTAAACCTATATAACCAAAACAAAACAAAAGCAAGAGTGTTAGCAAGAGAGAAAGAGAGAGGTGAATAAATTTTCAAAAAAAATCATTTATGACTAACCTCTTTTAAATTCGGTCATCATGACTTGAGCAGTAGATTTAGTAACGTTATGAGTACTACACATACAGGGATAAGCAGGAGTAATAATAGGCATTCGATGACCACGATCTTGAGGATAAATTTTAGGGTTCCAAACTCTTCTCTGATCACCAGATGGACCTGTACCGATAGGTTTAAGTAAAACAGGAGATGGCCAATTCCATTGAGATAAGACAGCAAAGAATCTATTAACTATGGTAGCTGAAGGTTTATTTGGATAAAGTTGACAAACTCTAGCAACACACATAGCCCAAGCAACCCCACCACAAAAGCCCATTACATTAGAATAAACTGCACGATTTTTAGCCCAAAGTTTAATAGCTCTTAAAGAATGTCTAAAAACTTCTACATCAGGTACTAATCTTAAAATTTCATCTGTTACTCTAGATCCACCTAAACTACGTACACATCTATCATCTAAATTTTTTAATAAACTATCATCTTTTAATTCCAATTCATTTGGTACACTTGGTAATGCTAATCTTGCAAATAATAAATCTACTTCAATGCCTGAAAATTTTAATGAGATGATAGGTACAAAGGCTTCAGGTACAGTTGATAGTTCGGTGACTTCTGGTCTTTCTTTCAACATTTGTGGTAAGACTTCGAAAAAATGTTCTCTTGTTACTTGTCGTGGTACTACACATAGTGTATCGATATCAGATCCTGGTCCATGAACTCCCAACCGATATGATCCTGTGTTTTTTGAATTAAAAAAAAAAAGAGTTAAGTCTGGTTTTTGTGTTGTTTTGAGATAGAAGAATAAAGAAAGAAAGATGAGAAGAAGTCACCAAATGTGAAAATCTTTCCACCAGTTTCACGTGCTACAAATTCTGACATTCCTAAAGCCACAGAAACTTTAACAACGAACTGTT